GGAAAGGCTTTTGCTGCTCAGCCTGTGCTGAGGATAGGAAGAGGCTGCAGTATTCCCCTTTGCCCAGTGGGATCCATCAGCACCCAGCACAGCTGGCCAGGTGCCCACCCTGCATGGGCACATCCTGCAGCATGGAATGGGACTGGCAGCTCTAAAAGACTGTTTCACCAGTGACTAATGCTGCTAAACTCATTCCAAAACCCGGCCCCTGGATCTTGTGGAAGCCTTCCAGAGCAGAGGCAGGGAACACTCACCTCAGCCCCAGCACTGACTGCTTCTCTGTACAGCTGCAACACATCAAAGGGGCCACTCCGGGCCAGCAGCTTTGCTTGGCAGATCCAAAATTTGGCAAATTTCTCTGCCTGGGGCACAAGGGACAGCACTGTTGAGATGTCCTCAGCATGGACACCCTGCAAGGAGAAGGGAAAGGGTCTGAAGAAAGGTGTCTATGGCATGGATGAGTGTGTGCACCAGGAGGAAGCAGACCGTGCCTGACCACAGCTCACAGCACTCTCCAGGAGGAGGCTCTCAAAAGTCTGGCTTTGCAAATCTATCTCTCCCTTGGATAATTTGGTCTAGTATTCCAGAGGGGTTTCAAAGGATAGAATGCAGTGCTGGCATAACTGGGGCCAGTAAACCCTGGAGCAGGGCTAGTGGTCTGTGTTGGTCTGGTCTCTCCCTTCTCCCAGTCAGCCCACTATTGTATTCATATTGCTGTTATTATATTTCTCAAGTGCTATACCTTATGAGCAGTTCTTCTCAGCAGTGTTGTTCCTGCTGCCTCACCAGGGCTCCTCCAAGGCTCTCCCTGACCAGAAAGTCCAGCCCCTTTTATCCCAGTTATCTTCATTAGCTACAGCTGCAGCCCAATTAAGTACATCACAGCTGGAGCTCATTTAGAACAACTAGGATTGGGGCACAGCCACTTACACAATACATATATTTTACAAGGACTCCTACTACAGCTCACTGCCTGCCTTTGGCCTACCCATAACTTTATGAGCACTTGTATTTTCCTGTGTTTCCCACTCTTGCCACTGAACACTTGTTCCCAACCCCTCTTAGCTACTGGAGGGAAATGGCCCTTGTCCCCTGACATGCTCCAGGAGAGAAGAAGCTCATTCAAGCAGCTCCTTCCCTATTCTCACCTCCTCAATGAGCTTCAGGCAATCAGCTAATACGTTGTTTGCCTTGGCTCGGAAGTGCTGCTCTGGATTGTCTTTTTTCTCGGTTGGCTTGACCTTTCTGCAGGATGGTATGACCGCCTGCTTCATAAGCAACCTCATCGGCGGCCGCTTGTATATCCTGCCTTTGGCTGCCAACCACTCCTCCAGCTGTTTCCTGTCCAAGGACAGAGAAATCACAGTTACCACTGTGATTGCCAAGCAGGCAGCAGCTTGGCAAGAGCTGGCTGTTTTTCCTCGGAGTCTTCCTTTAGCCAACTTCAGCTGCTTAAAAAGAATCAGTATATCTATCTCAGAAACACACCTGAGCTCTAGGACTGGGAGAGGAAATCACACTCAAACCGAAACCTTGAGGCTGAAGCAGGAGAGTGGCCACACACTCTCCTTGCACTTACTGAAGTGGTGGGAGAGAAACCCAGGGTGCCACCCAACATTATCCCCAACCCCTTCTTTTTCAGGCCATCAACCCCCCCACAAGCTTTTGCTCATAAAAGACTTTGGACTCCATTTCCAGCAGGATGGTGCTGGCTCACTCAGAGCTGCCCCTTACCTGCGCTCATCGGTAGTTGCAGGACTCCTTGGAACAGGCCAAGCATGCATGCCACTTGCCTTTGGCAGCTCTGGTTTAAGCTGCAAAGGCTGGTTACTTATATTTTGTGACATGCTCCTTGATTCTGGCAAGGCTTTCCTGTATTTTTCTTCTTTAGTCTGGTGGTTCTATAAAAGAAACACACAAAACTCAGGATGAAAACCTTCCAAACATTCCTCCTTCCCCCAACCAAGTTCCCAATGCATCACAGTAAGACAAAACCTTGGACTCTCAATTCAGTTGCCACCCCTCAGATCACCAACTCTCAGTCCATCACTACCCTTCAGATAATCAATTCTCAGTTTATTAAGAGGAGAGGAGTCCTTCTTGTGCCGTAGGCTTCCCCTGGAAACCCAGTTGAAACTTTGTGTGTTACCATGTCACTCGTGGCACTGCCCTGAGAACATCTGCCATCCTGACATCTTCCGTCCATGTCCAGTGCTCTCACCACTGCACATGGACCAGAGCTGCTTCTAGGGTTTTCCTTTTAAGGGTGCTTTGTCCAGTTCCAAAAAGAGCACAGTCTCTCACCTTTGGGACACCTGTCCCCCCCACCAAATTTCACCCTCTGGGGCCAAGGGGTCTCAACACTGAACTCTCTTGGTTCTGAGCCATTGCCTCCCCCTGGATGCAGTCTCTGTGTCACAGGAAACATAATTCTGTCCATGGCTATACAAGAAAAGTCCAGCCAAAGGCCACTCAATCATCTCCTGCCACCTAGAATTCTTCTCAACTTCTCTTGGACATCTTTCACTTGCACAAACTTGCATCACACTTGCCCATTTGCTGCTATTCATCCCTCTCTCTCTTCTCATTTAGGAGGAGGATCAGCATTTGTAACGTTTCAGTCATCCAAGAAAAGGGTTAAAAATATCAAGCTCTGCCTGTCCAGAACTCCCACGCGGCCCTGCACCCTCCCCTTCTCCTTCTCAGCCAACCTGCTATCAAATTCCAGGGTGGCACAGGCACAGGCACCGGCTCTCCCCCCCCGTCTCTCTCTCCTGGGTGGGGATGGCTGCCTGATGACTCTCCAGTGATCCTCCACCCTTCCATCCTGCAAGGGCCTCTTCACCTCCCCTCTCTGTCCAAGGCCCTACCTCACCCGGCCACATGGCTTCCCCTCCTGCGCCCAGCCCGCAGCTGGGCAGGGCAGCTCTGAACCTTTCCCTGACCAGAACCAAAGAGAGCTTTCCTGGGAAGCCATTAACATCCAAGGTCCTCACAAAACTTCTATGGACAACAAAACTAACCAAAATGACTCATTGTTGAAGACAGCCATGAAAGATGTTTTCAATTATCATCTGTATGGCAGATAATCTTTGTCAAGTGGGCAGTTTGCTTTATCTCTCTGAGTGACCACATTCACACATCCCTGGGAGGGGACACCTGCCGCTAACAGACTATTGAAGGTCACTGCATGACTGTAAGAACTATAGCATCCCATTGTGAGATGTGAGCCCAGAGGGAGGAGCCAAGCATTGCTACCCCGATATGATCCAGACGTTTTTTGAGACACCAGCACAGCTTTCTCCACGGGATTCCCCAGAGGAACAGCAGCTGCCTCTTCTTCCACTGGATCTTCAGAGCAAGAATACAATCTTTTTCTACAGATCCCCCTGTTATGAACAAAAATTCAGTTAATATTTTTTTGTGAGCCCCCTGTTATGAACAAAAATTCAGTTAATATTTTTGTGTGAGAAAGAGTTACAGGCATGCAGCCAGGTCTCTGTCTCTGCCAGGGTTCTTGCTGCTTTGTTATTGTAATCACGGGTCGTTGAGGCTTATCTCCTCTTTTGTATAAGTAAAAGGCCTGGCTGGGTGGGGTGATGGCCCTTCCCCGAGGCTGTGCACTCTTCCAACATAGGGAAGACACCTGAGAGGGTGGGGGGGGGTTATGCAAAGTGACTCCAAAGACCAGCAGGCTTTGGGACCTCGACTCCAAAATGCAACGAGAAAACCCCAAAAACAAAGAGCCAAATAAGAATTGAGAGACTAAAGTGGCGTCTGGACATGAGGAGCCAAGTGCTGAGCCTGCAGAGATGCGGAGCCCCTCTCGCCCTGAGCAGAGAGTCGTCCCAAAGCCGGGACCAGACAGCTGAGAAGCTGAAAGGATCAACATCTGACAGGGGACATCACGCCCTAAAGGCTCCCACGAGGACTGGATCCCCCGGCTCTGCCCCTAGCGGACAGAGCTGCGCATGTCCTCCTCCTCTGAGTCGCCCTGGGAGATGCGACGGGGACTGCAGCCCTGCTGAGCCGCCCAATCCTGAGCTGATCACTTTTAATAAAGGCATTAAAAAGGAGAAGAAGTCTCCTGGCCCTGTTTATTTCACCCCTTGCTCCAACAGAGCCACCCTTGACACTGCAGGAGGCCTGCAGCCACAATTCCAATGGGACTGCTACCAACACCCTGACCCACAGGGTGTCACGTTGGGTTCTGACTCTGTCAGTGTTGTTCTAGGGTACTGAACTGTTTATTTTATCCCTTTTTTCCCTATTAAAGAACTGTTATTTCCTGCTCCCATATTTTTGCCTGAGAGCCCCTTAATTTAAACTTTATAGCAATTTAGAGGGGTGGGGAGGGTTTACATTCTCCATTTCAGGGGAGGCTTCTGCCTTTCTTAGCAGGCACCTGTCTTTCCAAACCAAGACATTCCTGCAGGCAGTGGTCTGGCAGGTAGTGGGTTTGGAGGCTCCCAGACTGCCAGAGCCAGGAGCTGAAATGAGAAAGTTTAAGAGTTTCATAAAATATGCAGAAGAGACACCATCAGCCCCTGGGAAACGCCAGCACTCAAACCATTCCTTTGCTCCTGCTGCCAGTAACGACAGACTGGTGCCAGGGTACTGTGGGGGCAGAGCCCAGACAGGAGCTGGTTCTTTGTACACAGGCCAGAGAAGGTAGACACTGGTCAGTGGGGAGAGCCAGCTATACCTCAGACCTTTACATATCATCTCATCCAAGCCCAACATCCTCCTAACTTACCTGGCACTTGTGCATTTCAGCCTTTCCTTAGCTACTTGGCAGCTCTGCAGCTGGCTCTCTGTTTGCTGCAAAGAGATGGCAGGAAATGCATTGTGCACAGGACAGTCTCAATACTCAAAGAACTCATGACACTGGATTTCTGTTACTCTCAAACAGTACATTGCACACCTCCCTGCCTGGGGAGCCTGGCAATACTGTTCCCAGAAACTCCCTTGTACATGATATTGCCCAGAGGCTCGTTGCCACTTAAGCTTCCTGACCTTCACAGTGTGATGCCACTCAACCCCTCAGCTGGGCAGGGCTCAGTTTGCATAAGGAAAGGCTTCTACTGAGCCCAAGAGCAGCACGACCCTCCAGCACACTCCCACTCCTCCCAGACCGCGTCCCTGGGCCCGTTTCGCGGGCACCTGCCGCGGATTCACACATAGTTACTCACACCGCCCGCCCTCAGCAGCTTCCCACCGGCCCATCTGTGCCACTTCCAGT